ACACAGAGGATAGAGTTTCAACTGATGGCGAAGACGAGCGTGATGGTCAAAGCGAAGGCATCGTTTCCAACAATGCTCCCGGACGTTCTAGATTTAATGGCGCCCCGGGTCGTAAGCGCAAGTCGACGTCAAAGAGCCATTGTCTAAAGCCGAACGAACTCACTGGCGCACAAAAAGAAATGCTACTTGAACTCGAATGGGCACAGCGAGCATTCATGCAAACTTTTACTATTGCCGTTATTGACAGCCCAGTCACATTCACCGGTGTTAAGAAACTTACCATCGCCCGTTTGCCAAACAGACATTTACCAAACCTCGTACGCGATGACTTCTGGGATAGTCTACCAAATTTGCTTGAGCTATCTCTAGGCATAATCCCCGACTGGCGTGAACTTGTCAAACTTCCTACCAGTTGGGTTCAAGATATCAAGTTACGTCCATCTAAGGCTGTCATTGGTGTCTTTCAGCTCCTTTCCAAACAAATATCTCGACGACAGCAGATCGAGTCTTTACATTTTGAATGGGTCGGCGGTGGAGAGTATGCTCCCGGTCTTTTCTGCCGGAACCAGCATATACTTGCTGCTCCCATAGTATCAGATTCAATGAGCATGGTTAGTAGAAAAGGAGAGAAGGAAGTTCTGTCACTACCCTATATCAAGAATCTGTCATTGAAGAATTGCTGGTTAAGTCCACATATGTTCACGCGCTTTGTCAAAGATCTCAAACAATGCAGCCTTCAATCCTTAACACTTGACTCGGTTTCATTGACCGCCTTCATTCGCCCTGGACAACACCCAATGCCTCGAGCAAATCACCAGCAAAATGCTTTGGCACAAGCCATGGCGGTAGATATGGCGGCAAACATGGGCTTCGCGAATAATCATCATCTTGCTGCACATGCCGCCTTGTTTCCACCCAACATGGCTGCACTGCCACCATTTCTAGCAGCAGCACCGCCAGCAACTCAGTTGCCAGCGGTCATGACCAATTCAAATGCCCAACCAGCATGGCTCGATGAACCTCGCAATGGCTCCTGGGCTCAGGTTATTGACACTTTGACTCCTGGTAATAGACTAGCAGATTTGCGTCATGCCAAAGAACTTGGTGCAGAGCCTCAACCTAGAACTAAGAGTAGTTTGAAACAACTCGTTTTCAAGTCATGTGGATATGCCCGACTCCCTCTTGAATTCAATCAATCAGCAATTCACGAAGGTGGTGGTGAGCAGCGCGGATCCGTACCTGCCGGAGTAACAAAGAGAATCAATGACTATGAGAGCATCATGATGAAGCCGGGTGACAGCCTACTTGCTTCGATCACAAATGCGATGAGCGATCTTGAAGTTGAAATTCTACAAAATGCGTGGAACATGACTCTTGGTTGGGGAAATTTACCTTTGCAGCTAACAACTGAAGCAAATCATGATGGGATTCTACGCGCTGGCTTTGGAAGATTCAATGGATCCATTGTAGCTGCAGCTCCAACTCCGAATTCAGCTCCTGAAGTTTAATTTGATGCATCAATAATTGTTCTCATGTTTTACAGGGACAAAAATTGCAATTACCTAGGTTTTCATCGTACTAATCTTACTGGTACCATAATTTCTTTCTTTCTTTGGGGTGTGTTTGTATGGAATAAAGATGTCTTAGGATGGCTTTATCATCTCATACACCTATTTCTTGTATACTACCATCTTTTTTCTTTCTTTCGGCAGCATGGCGGGGTCATTAGGGCATGACACCAAAGCATAACGAATGGGCTCTTGGTATTGTCTCAAACTTGCATTTCAGGTTGCATATCAGGGTAAACAATTGGTCTCACGACTTATATCTGGATTGGACGGGAATTTGATATGGAAAATCATTGGGAAGGGAGTTCAGCGAAGATGTCGGATGTTTCAAGATCACGAATAATTGTGTTCAACACCATTGATTAGATCAGATGCACCTTCTGTATCACAGATTTGCTGATATCTATCAATCATTGGAATGTTGACATGAAACCCTCCATGGCGCTTTGGGAACTGACATGAATGATAACGACGAAGATAGTCGGAAAATTCTTGTTACTTTGTAGGAATAGTGTATAATTTACATAATGAAAATCGATCAAAATAATGTGGTGCATTGATGTGACGTGATTGCATGCTATAAAATAATGATGAGTACAAGGTGCTCGATGGTCTTGGTAGCTTCCGATATTCGAAGTCATTACGATGTTTGGAATGCATTCGATATTTCATACCATTTGAATTTGATCCAAAGCGATGCTTAGACTGCAGTCGAGAAGGCTATTTGAAAACTTCAAATAAGTTTATCCTGATAACTGAACAACCTGATCTGTTCCCTCCTGCCAATCATTTCCCCCTCTCCTACTCTCTTCTCTTTTTATCTTGATTGCTCGTGTCCCCTTAAAGAGGTATAGCCATGGTTGGGGATAAACCCTAGATTGTATTGGTGAGATTAGAAGGTTGCTGATGATAGTGGTGATGATCATGACAATAAAGAGAGTGCGTGAAAGAAAGAAGGAAGAAACGTAGATTTGGATAGTGATAGATTGATGGAGTGAGTGAAGTGGGATGATGGGGTGATGGGGTGGGGTGGGGATTTGAGGGAGTATATGAGATGGAGATGAACGGTGGGAGATTGAAAGGGCGATGGTATGTTTGAGGACCGAAGATAGAGTAAGATAGAGATCGAGATAAGCATCGAGGAGGAGGGAGCGGGAAGAGCGGAACGAGAAAGTTTGGGTAGATGATGGGCGTCCTTAGGGAACTCGGTGTGGAATGAATCGATTATTAAGGTGACAGTCATGTGGAAGAGTGGCATAGTGGCCTAATCTCTTGCTCGTTTAAAGCTTGAGGGATATTTGGGTGACAGACGGCGTTAATGTGCTATGCTGTATTGAGACACTATGCTATTCATATTCGATGAGGTGTAAAAGGGATTTGGACTTGTATGTGTAAAACTGGTAGCGAGATATCCGGAATGAAGATCGACTCATGTAGGTATCTACCTACGTATTGCTGTATTCGATGAGCGGAGGAGCTAGCCGGGTATTTTGAGGTGCTTTACGAGGTTTTGCTGCAAGTAGACAGGGCCTGAGCCGGGGTGTGTCGAGGTATGGAGAGCTGGGATGTAGATACTGAAGATGCCGAGATCTCTTTAGTTGCTTAAAGCCAACTGCCGCGCTGCTGAGTTGCCAACCGTTTTAGAACGATCTAGGCCCGCGTCTGGCTCGTGAAAGAGAATTGAGACCTGCAGGTAATAGCTAGTGTCTGATCCATCCTGAAGCTTGAGGGTTCTCCAACTCCCATAAGACTGTGCCTGACTTGGCAGTACTCGAGAACAAATAGCAAATATATCACAAGCACCCGTGGAAAGAGTCAGATAAATTCGTCAAGAGGCAATTAAATTTTCTGCAAGAATTTCATTTAATGGTTCATTTATAGTGCAGCAATATGTCACCTGTACAAGCCATCCATTTTTTGAGATATCCTTGTATGATGACCTTCATATCAATGCCCAATCGCGCAAACCCCAGCCAACCATAAAAAGAGAACATCTATGCAGCAGTGATAGCTTGACGGATACGAGCACCACGTTGTCTTGAAGACAAGTGTGCGGTCTCACGTCCAACAACGGCCTCGGACTTTTGAACAACTTCCTCTCCTTCGGTCAAGATCAATTCGATGTGGCAGGGATTTGACATGTATGGGTTGATCTGTTCAATATTAGTACTGGGTGTATCGTAGGCTTTCGATATGAACTTACACGACCGTGAGCACGGTAAGTTCGGCGACGTTGCTTTGGTGCTTGGTTGACTTGGATGTGCTTAACGATCAAGTTTCCGGTATCGAGACCCTTGGTATCGGCGTTGGCCTCAGCGTTCTTCAAGAGACCGAGGAGGAACTCGGCGGACTTGACTGGCCATCTAGCACGGGTAACACCGAATTGCTTTCCTATTGAAATATCCCTATCAGCCTCCCGTTCTTTTCTAACCCGAACTTCTCGATTCCCTTCTGATATCGATGCTCGAACATACCTTGAGCAGCACGTCCAGTTCCTCCGGCGTATCTTCTCATTGGGACAGCCTCCTTGTGTTCTTGAACGTTCTCAAGGAACTTGACGGCGCGCTGGAGCTTCCATCCCTACGAATTATTAGTACTTGTCGAGTCGTAAGGGCTTCGAAAACTTGCGTTGATAGCTTGTGCTGTCTCACGGGTATTCTTGAAAGAAACACGGAGGTAAGAACCGCGGGATCTGGCGCTCTTGGCCGATTCTGATCGTAAAGTCAGCAATTACCCATGGGAGGTATCGGAGGCAAGCAAAGTCGATTGCGTTTTCGTACCTATCTCAGTAGCAGCGTATCGTACCTGTAAACAGAAATATTGGTTAGCAATTTATCCAAGTAAAAGCTGTGTATCCAAAATATGACGGCACAGATAAGTCTTCCGTCACCAGCGCAATCTGCCATGTACCCAGTACAAAGGAACCGAGAACTCGACTCAGCAGTGCCAGATTTCTTTGAAATAAAGTCCTTCCACCACCAGCGAAATCTTTTGCAAAGCTTTCCAGATCAGTTGAGCCATAGATCTGGCTCAGCGACTTCGAATTTCCCTGCAGTCGGCCCCTCCATCACCAAGTCCCCAATCATCCATTTTCCAACATCTAATTGTCGCAATTGATTCCAAACAATCGTACAACCTCCAGAGTAACAATAGGAAACACATTCAACGTACCATCTTGACGTTTGGTTGCTGCGGTCGTTAGTACGGAAAATTTCGGTATGATCTTGATGCTGTAAATTTTTGGGAGTTCCATCCGTTTTGGCTCGCTTGATTGTAGTTTGCCCTAAACACATGACTTGACTAAGCCAAATACGGAAAGCGCGCTAAAATCGACTTTTGCACTTTCCTGAAGTGAAGCGAATTGTATGAACATTTTTGACCTCTCGAAACGCCTCTCGACACCATCGACAATTCAAGATACCGTCGCCCAATATGTCTTTAGTTACGTACGAAACCCAATTCCGCCCTTTTCTCCTTATTTTAAGACCGAATTGCTGGAAATTTTGTTTTGCGACCTTTAGTGAGGTTGCGCTTCAAAAAAATAGCTTCTGGTCCCCCAACTTCGACATTTTGCTGACAACTTGGTTACAGCGGGGAGAAGTCCAACTTTCAATACATTCTGCGTCTACTCAACACCAACGTGAGGAAAGCAGAAAGTTATGTTCGCATTAACTAAGATAAAGGCAAAATCCCATCGTTCCCGTCGCCTTGCCATCATTCTAATTCCATTTTAGGGTGTCGGACGTCGTTACTCCAACTTGGTCTGCAAGAAAGCTGATGTCGATCTCAACAAGCGGTATGGACCACATTAGACACGAGTAGAAGGACAGTGGACTAATTAATTACAGCGCTGGTGAACTCACCTCCGAAGAGCTCGAGAGAATCGTTACCATCATCCAAAACCCAACCCAGTACAAGATCCCATCCTGGTTCCTCAACAGACAACGCGATATCGTCGATGGTAAGGACTCCCAAGTTCTCGCCAACGGTGTCGACTCCAAGCTCCGTGACGATTTGGAACGCCTCAAGAAGATCCGTGCTCACCGTGGTCTCCGTCACTACTGGGGTCTCCGTGTCCGTGGACAACACTCCAAGACCACTGGTCGCAGAGGTAGAACCGTCGGTGTTTCCAAGAAGAAGGGAAACTAAATATTTGCGCTTCTGGGATTTACGGTTGGGTGGAGTGTGGCTTTTGCGATGGACTGGTACTTTACATCTGGCTTAACAGCTTCTACAGCATGATGCTGTTACTGGGCATGCCCCAGGGAAATCAGTTCATGAAAAGGAAACAATAAATCATCAATGGCTTCACTATAATCTTATGTGCTTTCAGAACAATTTGCGAAGATTGATTTTTAGGTATGCCTACGAATTATGAGAGCTGTTTTTACAAAGAATCTGGAGTCCAAACGCCCCAAAACCGTGATTGAAATTGTTAGCTGCGCATTTATCATAGAGTACAGGTGACAATGTATTTTCTGTTACCCCTTCGCGTATTATACTTTCCTTCGCATATTATGCTTTCCTTCGCAGGGAAGGCAGTACCCTATTTCTCAAAGGTCCTGTAATTCTAGATTTGGAAGGAGCAAGTGGCAACTAATGGAGGGTACATCTGCATCACGTTTTGTTCTTAACGAATTTCAAGCAGAGAATGTTTAAGTCGGACCTTTAAGCTGCATGAGATCATTCTCCCGTAGCTGAACTTGTGTCAAAATGCTATGATTATATCTGCACGTGTGTACGACGTAACTTTCTTTGATTCTTAAAATGATAAATGAATCAACCTACAGGATATATAACTACTAGGTAAAATGTAAACTACTTTTGCTACCCCCAACGCCATTCTAGACCCGCTAAATGATACCAAACCCAAGTTGCAACGGAATACTTGGACTCTTAATCTTCATGAGTAACAGCCATATCCAACACTTCGACTCTTCCCTGTCCCTTCGTCTCGGTACTGATAAAATCTCCTATTCCCTTAAATGCACCGGGTTCTACAAACCCTACTACCTCCCACTCTGAACCCATCACATCCTGAGTCTCGACTTGCTCTACATATCCCAATACCCTATCCTTGACCGTCTCCTTCTTATCGGCCTCTCCCTCATCAGCAGATTTTGGTCCAGGAGCCTTCACCACCTGCTTTAAAATCTTGGTAGGTAACGTAACTCTCAACCTCATCCTCGCTCTCGCGACTGGAATCGGCTGGTGAGCAATCAACGCCTTCATCGCTTCCAACGCCTGACTCTTTGCGCTCTTCGTAGCCACAACACCCGTCCAAGCATGTTCTCTCGCTCTAGGTATTGGCTTTGCCTCCCCTTCTTCTCCCGTCGTCGGAGTTGCGGTTTCGCTGCCCAGATTCTTATCTTTTTCCTGTGCTTGCGAACCCTGCGAACTGAGCATCTCGAGTGCTTTCTCTATCATTCCCGTAGTGTACACCCGCTTCGACTTTGGATCCACAAGTTTGCTGGCTACGATACTGATCACTTCATTGTGCACTCGCTCCAACTGTGCATGTCGTTCCTTCTCTCCAACTTGTAATTCTCCCTTGTTTAATATTTCGAGAATGATATCTTGCACTGGAGTATCTTTTCCAAAAGCCTTTGCTAAATCGGCCGTTGGTGCCGTTTGTCCTCGCGAAACATTTAGGAATACGTTAGGGATTTGAAGAACATTGTCGATATCTTTTTCGTTGCCGGAACGCCATTCGAGTACTTTGTTCTTGTAGCAGGCGATTTCGAAACGCTTTTTCGCCTTCTTGTATCGTACAAGGGATACGTTTGTGAGTTTAATCTGGTTAGAGGGTTGATTGATGGGCATCTTGACGGTTCGTAAAGTGGTGTTGATCGAAAAAAGGAATTTGGAATATCTTTTTTTCTCAATGGTCTTGGAGATTTTTCTTTTTGCGCGGGTTTACCCTTACATCACCCCGCGGAACGGCTGAGTCACTATGTAATAATAAAGGCACGGCATGTTTGATACCAAGTTCGCCGTCATTTCTAAGCATCTCGAGCTTATCTACACTTATCTTATTAGTGGGATTTAGAGCGTAGAGACCTCAATATCAACAATTCGTACAATGTCTTCATCATGAGTCACGATGAGCCATCTTGATTCTTCATTGATGAAAGAAGCACGACTCTATCAAAGTCTCCTTTATCGTACAGCCACCATACCTAGTAGTAGTATTCACATCTGAATCATGGTTTAATCGGTGAATGAAAGTCTGAGACCGGAGTCATGTGTCCCTCGCGGGTACCTTGACAGATTTACTATGCAGTGGCGTCAGGGGAATCTTAGACTAGCCCCAGGCTCTGTTGTGATACGCTGGGTTTCTCTTCAAACTGTTGGAAGGATGAGCTCCGACCGCTTCAAGTTGCGATGATATCAAGCTTCTGCGTTGATATTTTGGAGATATTTCGAGGTACCTTGATGTAACAATTATTATGATAAGGAAGGGTTAACATCATAAAATGGATGATTTGATAGATATTTAATCAATGATATTAACCCAAGGAATGATCTTGTGATGATGAAGCATTCTTCCGCCATATGTTGTTTTGGATGCGGTAATTCCCATGGCTGGACTGATAAGCATCCATCCAACCTCCATCTCCCAAGGGTGCCTTGCTACGTAGGTAACTGAGGCACGAGCACAACACGCACAAGCACGAGCACATCAGCAACTTGGGTAGCTCTTGGTTACCCTAACAACTTGCTCAGCAGTTACCGCCTTGAAACCCCATTCAAAGATCCCGTCTATCCCATCCATCCCTTCATCTTTCATCTTTCATCTTTCATCCTTCTTCTTGCCATCTCCCATCTCTTTATTCTTTATCATAACATCCTTCTTTTTTGGACATCATCATATGAAATAGAATAAAACTACAACAACACAGCTTCTATTTTCATTGCACTTCATCATGAAGCTTCTCGCATCAACCGTCCTTTTGGGCGCTGCTGCGGCATCCATACCTCAACAACAGGTTCTCCAGAACCCATTCAAATCAGCAACAAAGCCAGTCTCTGATGCTTGGTCGAAATCAATGGAATCTTTGGGTCAACTCACTGGTTCCATGAAAGGCATGACTGCCGAAGCCAAAGCTATCTGGGATGAAGTTTCAATGCTTTTCCCAGAGGCGATGGAAAAAGCTACCTTCTTCTCTCAACCAAAACCTCATACAAAAAGACCAGATTCTACTTGGGATTACATTGTCAAGGGCGCAGATATCCAAAGCGTTTGGGTTGAGAACTCAAAGGGAGAGAAGGAGCGTGAAATTGATGGCAAGCTTGAGCAATACAACATGAGAGCTAAGAAGGTTGACCCTAGTAAGCTCGGTGTTGATACCGTCAAGCAATACAGTGGTTATTTGGATGATGAGGAGAATGATAAACATCTTTTCTATTGTGAGTATTACTTTTCTTCCGATGCCATAACGATGTAGCACGTTTCTTGATCACAGCGCCACCACTTCCGATATCATCTTTAACTACGAACAAATGTGCTAATAAGATTTAGGGTTCTTTGAATCTAGAAATGACCCTAAGAACGATCCAGTCGTTCTTTGGTTGAACGGAGGGCCAGGATGCTCTTCTTTGACCGGCCTCTTCCTCGAACTTGGTCCTTCCTCAATTGACAAAAACCTCAAACTACACAACAACCCATACTCATGGAACGCCAATGCTTCCGTCATCTTCCTTGACCAACCGGTTAACGTCGGTTACTCATACAGTGGTTCATCTGTTAGCAACACAATTGCTGCAGGCAAGGATGTTTATGCTCTTCTCACCTTGTTTTTCAAACAATTCCCTGAATACGCCAAGCAAGATTTCCACATTGCTGGTGAATCTTATGCCGGTCATTACATTCCAGTTTTCACCAGTGAAATCTTATCTCACAAGAAACGCAACATCAACCTCAAGTCCGTTCTCATCGGTAACGGTTTGACCGATGGACTTACACAATATGAGCACTACAGACCAATGGCTTGTGGTGAAGGTGGATGGCCAGCCGTTCTCGATGCCAGTGCATGCCAAGCTATGGATAACGCTCTTCCACGTTGCCAAAGTTTGATTCAAAACTGCTACGATAGCGAGAGCGTTTGGTCTTGTGTCCCAGCAAGCATTTACTGCAACAATGCTATGATGGGACCTTACCAAAGAACTGGACAGGTATGTTAAACTAAACAATTTTTTGAAATACAAGATACTAACACATTGTAGAATGTTTATGATGTCCGTGGCAAATGTGAAGACACCAGCAACTTGTGCTACTCTGCCCTTGGCTGGATCAGTGAGTTCTTGAACAAGGCCGATGTTCAAAAGGAACTTGGTGTTGAAGTCAGCAGTTATGACAGCTGCAACTTTGATATCAACAGAAACTTCCTTTTCCAAGGTGACTGGATGCAACCTTTCCACCGTTTGGTACCAGGTATCCTCGAGCAAATCCCAGTCTTGATCTACGCTGGTGATGCTGATTTCATCTGCAACTGGCTCGGAAATCAAGCATGGACTGATGCTCTTGAATGGCCTGGCAAAAAGGATTTCAACGCCGCCAAGACCAAGGATCTCCAATTGGAGAATGGAGACAAGACTGGTACCTTCAAGAGCAGTGGCAACTTCACATTCGCTCGTATCTTTGGTGCTGGACACATGGTCCCAATGGACCAACCTGAGGCTTCGTTGGATTTCCTCAACAAATGGTTGAATGATTATACTCTCTAAATCTATAGATATTAGCAATCTTAGATTAGAATATGCATGGATGAGGAATGAAGGAAGCAAATTGTATTTATTGCGATGAGGATGGGCATGGCATGGATGGGAATCGGGCACTTTCTTTCGACTGTACTACAGTAACGGAATAACACGGATATACCTTAATCTGATATATTAAACACATCAACTTTTGAGTTTTTACTCGCTCAGTGACCACTATTCTATTTGATTACTAATTGGTGTTCATTTACTCAATGGACGAAATTAGTTTTATGCTTAAGTACCTAAGATACACTCCTTTTGAGATTTGACATTGAGGAAGCTAGAAAGCATTTGATTGTTCACAAATTGACGTGGGAGACCTAGACATTTGCAGTATTTAATTGTCAAACATGAATTGGTATATACAAACGACCCAGTATCTAATT